GAATCAGAAAGACTTTATTTATCTCCAAGGGGAAATTAACATACAACAGAGCAGCATGAAAGACAATAAGAACAGGCAATGCGCGCGCGCGCGCGTGTGTGTGTGTGTGTGTGTGTGTGTGTGTGTGTGTGTGTGTGTGTGTGTGTGTGTGTAAGCTGTCTGGTGGGCCATGTAGCCTGATGTGCTGGACCCAGTGTGTACACTTCTCTCTCTCGTCTAGTTCATAAGCTCTGCCTCACTCTGATTGGCTGCTGCTCTGTGTTGTTTTTCTTTCAGGCCACAAAAAACATCACAGCTGAGTCTGGAAAGAACGTCACTCTGACATGTCGAGCTCCAAATAACAACATAGTAGTAGAGTGGAGCAGAGCTGACCTGCAGCCAGAATATGTTCTTTTGTACCGAGACAAGCAGTTTATTCGAGATCACCAGCATCCATCTTTTAAGAACCGGGTGGATCTGCAGGACAAACAGATGAAGGATGGAGACGTGTCTTTGATTTTGAAGGACGTGATGATTAATGACACTGGAACATACGAGTGTCGTGTCTTTGTGAGAGAAACACGCTTGTGGAAATCCATCAGCATCATCTACCTTCATGTTGTTGATCCTCCAGGTGAGTGAGTAGAGTTGAGTGTGTGTGTGATCAGAGGGGAAGCTGCTTCCTGGTTGTTGATGTTTGTTTCTAAAGATGCTGTTGATGATGTGTGACATGATCAGCTGACACCTCACACCAGTTTCTCACCTGCAGGTCAGCCAGGAGGACACACAGAGGATGGAGAGGAGGAAGATGGAGTTGGTAGAAGTCATCATGGTCGACTGATGGCTTCTGTTTTATTACTTGCTGTGATCATTCTTGTTTTTGCAGTTGTGATCTCTAAAAAAACACAAGAAAGATCCTCCTCTTCATCCTCCTGATGAAGAAGCAAAGAAGGAAATGGTCTGAAGCAAAGCACCATGGAACGAGAGAGAGAGAGAGAGAGAGAGAGAGAGAGAGAGAGAGAGAGAGAGAGAGAGAGAA